ATATACATATGCATTTTATTATTTATATATTATATGTATATATATAGCGGAGATGAGAGACAGCAGAATCATTTCTACTGCCAGCTCTCGCCTCTTAAATTACCTAGTCACATCAAAACAAAAAATTCTTTCCTAAAGATTCTTTTATCAATTTACTTCTTTTTCTTTTCATTCTTCTTTCCTCCGTCTCTCTGTGTGTGTGTATGTGTGTGTGTTCCTTAATACGAAAGGGAGGGGGGGTGGAAAGTAGTTCACTCGTTTCTTCTTAAACTTTCCTTTACTTTACTTTTCTTCATTCATTTTTGTTACTCTCATCGTGTACTTATTGTTCTTTTTTTTCTTCTTCTAATTTCTTCTTTCATTTAATCCATTCGTTTCCAGCTTCCGTTTCTTCTCTTTATATCCTTTTCTCCTTCCTTCCTTTCTTTCTTTCTTTCTTCCTTCCTTCTTCGCTTGCTTGCTTTTCTCTATCATCCATGGTCTCCTCTCCCTCCTTCCACCGCCGACCTATTTCTCTATGTTTCATTTATCTCTTTTTTATCTCTTTTGTAATTTTTTTTTTATATTAATATATTATATGTAACAATATTTATCGATCAAAATCGTGAGTGGATTCGAGTCACATGCAGAAAAAACTCTTAGTCGTTTCCAGCACAGATACTTTTTGTTTCGTTTTGTTTAGTTTTCGTTTTTTAAAAAGAAAAAAAAACAACACTTTGGCTTTTTGCATCTAACGAAGGACTCTGCAATAAAAACACACCGCACTAGTTAAATGGCACTAGGAATCTCGCGTTCTATCTCTTTATCTTCTTTCTTTTTTTTCTTTCTTTCTCACTTGTGTGTTCTAATCGTGATATTTAAAAAAAAAAAAAACCTTCTTTTCGGTTCATCCTTTCTTCTCAATTTCCTTTTTCTCTTTGTCTTTGTCTCCTCCTCCTTTGCCTTACCTTCGTTCATCCTCTCTTCATTACTCCTTCCTTGGAAATAATCCCAACTTAGTATTTTAGGATTAACACTTGGACAGAATTAACGCGGGCATGGCTGCGTTTTTTGATCCTCTTTAGACGATACGGTTTTCTCTATCTTCCTCGTTCATTTGTGTATCTCGTTATATAAAAATCAGACGATGACAACGCAGTAAGCGCAGCATGATCGACTAAACTAAGCTATAAAAAGGTAACAAATTCAACAAATGGAGTACGAAACTAAATCAGTTTGTTGGTTATTGACAGTGAAAAGGTTTTAGGAAAGAACGTATAACGCTCAGATTTAGGTCCGTCTTTGTTTGTCTCGCTGGTAGTTCCATCGTTATTATATAGTTTTATTAGCTAAAGTTGGTACTTCTCCTTGACGAGATGGAACTAGGATGCTTTATCGATGGTACCACAAAATAATTATTGTTTATTTCTTCTCTCTCTTTCTTTCTATCTATCTTCCGTATGATTTATCTTCCTCTTTGTATCATTTAAACAATGTCTACACTGCAATACTTTGGTTAAGATGGTAAAGTAATAGTTGACTTCACACCAATATCCAAATCCTTTCATCTAGACCAGATTATATTCCTTTAGATTAGATTGCAAGATAGTATCCTTCACCGCTGCAAATACAAATCTGATGTTCTCCGTATCTGTTGAAAAAAAATAATTACAATTACAACGTTGTTAAAGTATTAATATTAAATAATAATATTTTCTATTTTTTCAAAATATTTTATTCGCAATAGAAAACGAAAGAAACCTATCGACATATATATTCTTAAGCGTAAAAGAATGAAAGAACACTTACCACAGAAATAAAATGTAGTTAGAGCACATGCAACTCGGAACATTTCTTCGTTATAATAAAAGCCCAAGTATCACATAATAATATATATCGTATGTTTAGAAAATGCGTTTGCTCGCATGCAGAAATTGCCAAATCCGTCAGTTAATTTATTTTCAAACGAAAGTATAATACAATAATAGAAAAGTATTTGGAAATGTTACAAATAATGAGAAATATTATTGTGTTTGTATACATGCAATAAATAAAACCCTCAACCAAAAGAATAATACTTAATATTAAAAGGAAAAAACGTTGTAATCGTATATGTTATTGAAAAAGGAATATGAAGATTGGCATTCTTATAGCATTTAAAAACAAATACATAAGTTCAATCTATTATTTGGATCTATAATATATTAATTTGTTCGCATGATAATAAGATAAACATAATGTAAAAAATGTGGACGCATGTTTGAGTAGTAGAAGCAATTTTAACGTGTGTTGACAAAAAATCACCTATAACACATCATGTACGTGTGTGTGTGTGTATATATAATAAAACGTAATTGAAAAAATTCGTCCATAAGGTCGTAATTAGGCAAGATTAAATTCCTTAAGAGCAGTCTGCATAATCGTATCCTTTACGGCACAGAACACAAGCTTGATATTTTCCGTATCTGATAAATGAGATCCCAATCATCACAAGCAGCATGCAATTATAATTGATCACATTATTTCCTGCGTTAGTTTTCCCATAAAGCAAAGAAATTCATTTTGTTAATATAAAAACTTAATAATTAAAGTTACACACACCTGAGATAGAAGGATGCAGGCAAGATATACGCTACAGCACATAACATTCCCAAAAGCAATATTACGAGGCATACGTATAAGAGATATACAATGGTATACAGGGTGTCTTAAGTTTTTCTAGTTAAACTTATATCAGTGTTTCAAAAAAAAACTTAGAACACTCTATATATATATAAAGAAATTTAGTTTTAACAACTTTGAATGTTTCCTACCTGTGGCACATGTGAAGTGAGAATAAATAATCTTCTCACTATCTGGATTTAGATCGACAAACATCCTTAGAATAAATTCTCTAGCAGCTATGGCATCTCTTTGTGGGCCTGTGAAATTTACAGCAAGCAAATAGCCTGAGATATTACTTCTACATTGGTCGGAAAAGCAAAAAGATTTATGGTTAATTAATTAAGGTGATTCAATTGTTAGTGGTACATTATATAGATATGTAGAATTAATAATATTAGTAATATAAATATTACTTGTGAATCTCCAATTTTATTTTCGATGAAAGACAAACTTCACAAGATCGTTTCCTAAATTCAGTTTGATCGAGTGCGAATAATAAAATTCTTGTGAAAAAAAGAAGAAAAAGTTTAAATAAATAAAAATTCATATATAAAAGTGATAAATTATTTGATATGTCTGTATTACGAATTGCGTGTTTATACGGATAAAGTGATATATATGTTCTTTTTTTTCTTTACCACAGACCTTTTTGCTGTAAATATAATAGTGAAGTCGTATAAATAATATTTCTCTAAAAAAAAAATGAGTTATAACATGTTATATGTGTGTACCAAATAGACAAAAGAATCCTGTAAAATGCGTAGAGAAGTTTTTAATGGCGATGATGTATAAACGTGTTGGTGAATATTCTAGAGTATTTAAATACGATAGTAGTACGGAATAGAGGAGGAATTTAAATAAAATAATTAAGTTTGCTTAAATCCAATATATGTGTTCCAAGGGTAGCTTATCTAATTAGTTGCAGCATACGTCAAAGAAGCCTTTCGAAAGCACCAGTAATAAGCTAAATATCTTACATAAAGATGATAAATACTTATATATATACAAGGCGTCCCATAACTGGTGGTACAAGAAAACAAGGAATGATTCTATATGAAAAACTAAGTCAAGAATGTAAAATAAAATTGGTTTGTATAAGTCTTTGTTATTTTTTATTTTTTTTTTTTTGATAAAAATAAGTTTGAAAATTTGTCAAGTACGTGTATACTTGACTGAATTTACAATCCTGGTAAAAGTCTTGTTTAATAAGCATAAGAGTAGAACTGATACAAGAATTAAAACTAAATCAAGTGCACGCGACCTCAACGAATTGTGAAGCTTATTTTTCTCAAAAACAGAGCCTTATACAAACAAATTTAATTCTACATTGTCGACTTTGTTTTTCACATAGAATCACCCCCCTCCTGCTTGTCTGTACCACCAGTTACAGCACACCCTGTATATTATAAAAGTAATTAATATATATATATGTATAGATGGTCTCCCAAAATAATAATATATATGTACGTGTTTACGTATGTATTGTAATAATGCAAAATTCTTCGTTCATTGTGGACAAATGATTCGAGTCAATAACAAATTTTGCTAACACCGGTTCAATAATACATGTATCATTGGAATCATTTGATTCTGTATATTAATTCTACGTAATACAAAAATCACGGATGAGAAAGATATTAGTCATTAAGAAAAAATCAAGACACAGAGGAGAGAGAAAGAGAGAGAAAGAGAGAGTGAAAGATTTTGATACATATTATTAATGCAGAAGATAGATATGTAGATAATATGGTGCATCTTATATTTATATACGTATATATAGATTCTTTTGTACCAAATAGGGGTAAAGCTTTATAATAACTGCACGTTTTACGATTACTGGGTCAATTGAAAAAATTGCTCTACGAGAAACTTGCTACAAAACAATTGTTTGGCCAGGAGACAAGTTGCACTTAAACAGACCTGTCGCACACGTGAAGTGAGAGTAGCACATGCGGTCAGGATCAGGATTCGAATTGAGATAGACCTTTAAGATGAATTCCCTGGCCGGTACATCTTGTTGCTTTGGGCCTATACCATAAAACTTATTGATTGTCTAATAAAATGATTTGTTGTGCTCTATGTACCAAGTAATACGTATCTCGATAGATATACGTGTGAATATATAATACAAAGAATTGACTTTTCTTATTTTGACAAATGTCCACTCGTCTCTACATCGTTTACCATTCCTAGAAATTCTTTTTAAGAGTAACTAAACTAATCTCGTTGAACATTTTTCTTACCAAATGAAAATAAATAATATATAGGATGGTTACTGTTTTTCTAATACAATCGACGTATCAAAGAACTTTGTATCTTTGATATGATGCGCATTTTTTGCAACAATAATTGAACTAATAATTGTAGGAAATGAAAAGAAAGAAAGATAGATAGATAGATAGATTGATAGATAAATAAGTAAATAAATAAAATCTAACTTACCATCATATTCAGGAAAATAATCCACCAGATGAGAATACATTATTTTCTCCTCCAGTAGATCTTTTTTATTTAGGAACAAAATAACGGAAGAATGTTGAAACCAGGGATATGTTATAATCGTTTTGAAAAGCGCCTTACTTTCTTCCATTCGATTCTAAAAAACAAAAATCAATATATATTTAATTAAATTAATTATAATTATAAAATATAATTACATTATGTTTATCTATGTAAAAATTCTCTTAAAAAAAAAAAAAAAGTTTACTTATTAGGTGTTCTTTTTTTACCTCGTTTTCCGATTCGAATAAAATTTGATCGTATTCACTTAAAGCTACTAAAAATATAATGGAAGTAACGTTCTCAAAACAATGAATCCATTTTCTTCTTTCCGATCTCTGTCCGCCTACATCTACCATCCTGCAAAATATATTAAATGGATTAAAATCTTTCCTCGATATTTGGAACAATGTACTATATTGCATTTATGTTTATATAGATATATATAAAAAAAAAAATGATTAAAAAAAAAAAGAAATTCGTATTAACCGGCTCTAGATCAAAAATCATATCACACCGTACATATATACAATTCTCGTTGATCCTTAATTAAAATATTAACATCGACACGTTTTTACTAATATACAAAAAAACACTGTGCGAAGAAATTAGTATAGATTAGAAGAGAGAAGCATGCCGGTGATGTTTTTTTTTTTGGTATTAAAAGAAAACCATAAACTTATTTTTTTTCTTATTTAATTCGTTCGTTTTTTTTTTTTAATTTTAATTAACGCATGCATATAAAAGAACACTTATGCAATGTGCAAGAGAGAGAACGATTCTTTGATCCCATTCTTTTCTTTCTTTTTTTTTTTTTTTTTATATAAAGGAAATTAGAATAATGCATATAAAAAAAGAAAAAGAAATTGTAATTACGTGAATCGTGCTGATTCGTGTAAATACATTCATAACGAAGCAGCGACGATCTCTCTGTATATTTGGAAAAAAGAAAAAACACCGAACACACAACACAAAACAGCCATATTGCGAGCGAGTATATTATAGCGCTTACTATGTACATATTGTTTGTTTTTTTATCTTTTTTTTCTGTATTATTAATATTATTGGAACTCCTATTTTGTCGATTTATATTCCATTAGCTGTAAAATATTTATGAAAAGAGAAAGGAAAGTAATTTGAGAAAATGAAAATGAATTATTTAAAATTATTAGAAAAATATTCTCCAAATATAAAAATATAAAAAATAAAAAATGTGGGAATGTAAGAATGCGCGGTAAAAAAAAAAAAGAAAAAAAGAAAAAACGTGTATGTGTGTATAACAAAAACAAAAAAGAGAACAAAATATGTGTGAATAAAAAAAAAAAAAACAAAAGACAAAAAATGTGTATAAGAAAAAATAAATTTGTATGTAAAAAGCAAATGTTAAAAAAATCGATGATTAAAAATATTGCAAGATATAGTCTGTGATCTTATAAAAATAAAAAATAAAATAAAATAAAACAAAAGAGGAAAAAAAAAATTATATATGATAAAATAAAATAAAAAAAGTAAATATATATTTGCGTTAGTACCTAAATATGATGGAGTCCAGATCAAATGGATATTCTATAATGCCGGTAGTGGGAGCTCGAGCCCGAAGAATATCTTGCTCGGTAGGAAGAAAATCAGGCTTTTCAATACGTTCTAGGTCACTAAGATAACTGTAAAAACAAACGAAGCAACAGTCTGACACAGTGCATGCCATGCAAATATACATATATATAATATATAAATACATACATACTTATATGGGTATATATATATATATATATATATATATATATATATATATATATATATAAAAATATTAACAATAAAAATAAAAATGATAAAAGAGAGTAATAAGAAAAAGAGAAAAAAAAAATATAAATCTCAACAAATAACAACAATCCAATAATAGTTTTGTTCTTTTTTAAAAAATCCCTTCTCAAATGTGTCCTGCAAGAAGAGTAAGAAGAAGACCAACAAAAAAAAAAAAAGAGAATAAATCTCGAACTTGATTGGAGAATCCCTGAAGAAAGAAAAAAATAAATAAAAAGAGATACAAATAATAAAAAAGAAAAAAAAAAAAAGAAAAACTGACCCCTGCTACAGAAGTGGATCGAAACGATAAAAGGAAAATTTGTTGGTTCAAATAATGGGGAAGGGAAAGAAAAAGAAGAAGGAAAGGGAGAGAGAAATAAACCATGAGAAAAAAAGAAAGAAAGAAAGAGAGAAAGAGACAGACAGACAAACAGAACTATTCAACGAATTACGAGTCCCATGGTGTTGTGTATGAAGTTGCACGATTAGTAAAGTTGCAAAAATGGATGCAGACACAATGCAAATAGAGAGAGATAGAGAGAGAGAGAAATAATAAGAGATAGAAAGAGAAAGGAATAGGTATACGATAAAAAGAGGGAGGGAGAGATAGATAGATAAATAAATAGATAGATAGAAAGATGCAAAAGGAAAAGGAAGGAAAGGGAAAGAAAGAAAGAAAGAAAGAAAGAAAGAAAGAGAGAGAAATAGTGGGGTAAATAGAAAGAGAAAGGAATAGAAATAAGATAAAAAGAAAAAGAGAGACAGACAAATAGAGAGATGCAAACACAGAAAGATAGATAGATAGATAGATAGGTAGAGAGATGGTGGGATTGTGTGAGCGAGAGAAATAGAGAATAAAAGACAGCAAGTAGTAGTTGGCAGGCACACAGGCAGCTTCATCCTTTCGTCGCACAACGAGAGACATACCTAAATCGGATCTCTTCCAAGTCAAAAGGATACTCAATTATACCGGTAGTAGGTACTCTCACACGAAGAATGTCTTGTTCGGTAGGGAGATATGATGGCGCCGCAACTCGATCTATCTCCATTAGGTAACTGAAACATCGTGTTCTCAATACCTAATGCGTGTGGAGAGGAGCGGTCGTCCAATAGGATTGAAAGAAAACAAATAAATGTAACCGAAAAAAAAAAAAAAAAAAGAAAAAAAAAAAAAAAAAGGAAAAAAAAAACAAGAAATTAAAAAATAAAACTAGAGTCGAAGAAGAAAAATGAAAAATAAGATTTTAAAAAAGATAGGTAGATAGATACATAGATAGATTCATAGATGAGATTATTATTGTGCTGTGCGACGGGACGATCGATTGAAACAGATAGACAGAGATAGAGATAGTGTGGTCTATGTGTGTGTGAAAAAGAGGAAGAGAGAGAGGCAGAGAGAGAGAGAGAGAGAGAAAGAGAAATTGCATAAATTTTAGGGACCTTTTTTTATGTATCTATGTGTGTATAATATACATTTTTATAACGAGACATATTCCTTGGTAATGCCTATGAGAAAAATAAAGAAGAAAATTAATAAGGAAACAATTTCTTTATTTTTCATTTCTTTCTTTCTTGTTTTGTCGACGAAAAAGAGAAACACTTCTGATAATTAACCTGCAAAACGTCCGCTTAAATCGCACGAGGGGAAAAGAGAGAAAGAGAGAAACAGAGAAAGAGAGAGAGAGACAGAGAAAAAAGGATAATGATCAGGATTAATTCTCATTTCTGCCGCCACAAGTTAATGGCGTGCGTGTCCACGACAAGCACGTAAAAGTATAATTGTGTACGTGTAATGCTGTCGCGTATACGATAGAAAAAGATTAGTCGGTAATTATTATCGTTTGGAAATAATAATAATTAATATTGTTATTATTATTATTATTATTATAATTATTATTATAAATTTTAGATTATAACAATAAAAAAGGATATATAAAAGCGATCTACAAGATCGTTTAAATGTAATGAATTATTCCGATCGAAGAAATGTGTGTTCGGGTGGTAATAGTTACCGACCGAGTGAGGCGTCATTTTTATTCATAGTTTTTTTTTCATCTTATTATTTTTTATAAAAGTAATCACCATTTTTCTCTTTCCTTCTCTTCCTTATTTACTTCTCCCTCTTTTTTTTCTATTTTAATTAAATTGCAAAGTCGCCTCTTTTAATCTTTCTTTTTTTTTTTTTTTCATTAATGTTCACGATTTCTGTCCAAAATTCAAACTTGATTCGAATACACCAACGTGAGAGTAAGAGAGTAAGAGAGAAAGAGAAAGAGAAAAGGAGAGAGAAAGGAAAGGGGGAGAGGAAGAAAGAGAAAGAGATTAAAAAGAAATAATTAAGAGTAAGAGAGATAAAGAAAGTGAAAGAAAAGGGAGATAGAATAGAAAAGAAAAGTTGAAGAATAGTCGAGGACGATGATTTTGTTGTTGTTATTGTTTTCTTTTTTCATATATAAATATATATATAAAAAAATATCATATATAAATATATATATAAAAAAAAAACAAAGATACCCACTACTTAGCAGAGTCTGTTAGTTGATACTCTCGTCTGCGATCATAACACTCTTGAATTCCGCTGTCATTCCACAAGTCCTTGATCGCTTCGACGTATGGACTTTCGAATGTCGTGACCGTTTCAAAGTCGACTGCTCTCACGAGTTCCGCTTTTTCCTGAATAAAAGAAAATAAAGTTAAATGAAAATAGACGAAAATATAATATACACATACAATTTACATTTCCACTTATAATACCTGCAATTAATATCAATTTAAATTAAGAAATGTGACATTTTCTATGATTAGGTTAATCAATCTTTGGATATCAATTATAGAGGATGAATCTCAAAAGTTAGTTAATAATTTAAAAAATCATTTACTTCGAGATTAATTTTTAAACTACACCATTTGTTTAGACAGTAAAACTGAAGTCTAAGAAGTACCCACAATGTAAAAAAATTATTCTTAAGATTTTTGAAGTAGGGTAATCGATTTAATAAACTTATCTAAGGATTTGGCTCACCTAATGTGCCAAAAAATTAATGATAAAATGTTAATATAAAAAAAAAAACTATAAATTTGATTGTGGAATAAGATAAACGATGAGATTAGGTTAATCTATTGTCAGATATACTAACTATATTCGATGATTCTCCGTATTCGATCTTGAGTAGTTCCATCGCCCGGATCATCGACTGCATCGCCATGAATATGTTTTGGTAGACAAGCTTGATAAATCCTCTCTTATCTTCGTCCGAATAACCGGAACCGTGAATAATTCTCATCTGTTTGATGAACGTGGATTTGCCCGATTCACCAGTACCTATATTTACACACGCAAAACATTATTTTACTACGGATATATAACAAAATGAAAAATTGTGCGCAGACTTGTTTCGACATTTTGCGGGGCCCTATGCGAAATAGAAAAAATAACGCGGGGATCCTGTGTCGTCGTACAGTTGGTACACTCATGAATACGGCCCTTGTTTATGCGTGTGAAATAATCTATTTAATTTATTTTTTTTTTCTATCTTATCAAGCAAGTACACTTGCAACCGATTGATCTTAATTAATAGATGAATTTATGACTTCTATTCATACGCACCATAAAACGCCGCTAATGGACCTGAATATATACTCACAAACACATACTGTCTGTTTATTTTTTATTGGACTAAAAAAATGGATTATTATCGACGATCATTTCATTATACCAATTATGCATATGCATATATATTAAACATATATTCATATGTATCAATAAAACTAAATAAATGTCCATAAAAAACCTTGAAAAATCTTATTCAAATATTATTAACATTTTATACAAAATCTTGGGTAAATGTATTATAGATTGAAAAAGCATTTCTTCTTTTCCTAATCGATTTTTAAATAATTTTGCACCTTTTTTAAATAAAAATAATACAGTAATAAAGCAGAAAAAATGAATATGTCGTTCTGTTTTACCGACACGACGGAAATGTGAGTAAATCGAATATTCTAAGCGCTTGAAATAGAGTCAAATATAAAATTGAATAGCAGCAACCATTGATGGTGGTGGTGAAGGTTGGGGTTGAGGTGGTGACCCCAACTACGGTAGTCATCGCATTAAGAAAGGGGTGGCTATACTCGAGGAAAATGACTCCCTTTTTATAAGAGTTTCTTTCTTTGAAGTTAAACACAATGGCGACGCGATGCCAGTAGCCTTGTCGACGCGTGAAGAAAAAGAAAGAAAGAAAGAAAGAAAGAAAGAAAGAAAGAAATAAAGAAAGAAAATAAAAAGAAAAAGAAAAAAAAAACATTGGACACTTGCCAACGAATTTGGTGTCATTTATTTTTGACTCTAACTACATAAATTATTAAAATAAAAACAAAATAATAATAATAATAATAATAATAATAATAAAGAGAAAGAAAATACGTTGGAATTCAAAAATTATAGGACTAATTTCCAATACAGGGTGGGAAAAAGTCCCTAGAGTGATTTGAAATATCAATTTTTCTAATTTTTTACGTTAATTATTTCTTTTCAGATTATAAAACTATAAAACTAACTATAAACCTGTAAAAGTTTCTTACTAAAAGAATAATTAACTTTTAAAATTACATGAGAATGTTGGGCATTAACCCACCCACCACTTCGTGCAAGATCAGGATTAGATTTCTTTGAAAATTTGTTGGCACGCGTCCTTTCAACTTCGGCTGAATGAAGATAAGAAACTGGTAAGTTTGACTTTTGTTAATCACTCGTATTTATAGAAATAGTGTAAAATTTTACTCCGAGAACGAGCTCTATTTGCGTGGGGTGAGAAGTGTTCTCGGTAAACACGTGATCGTCAATCCGGTGAACAAAGTGAATTATAACAAAAAGTTCACGAGTTATTTTCAACATCGATTACGTTCTTTACATTGCTAAAATAATTTTTAGGATAACTTTCTTTTTCAAATTTTATGATTACAATCCTAGAAACTTTTTTACGATCTGCAACAAAGTTAAATTAAAAATTAATTTGGAACTTTTGGTCCAGCCTGTAGACCGGAATAGATTCAAAATAATATTAATTTGTGTGTATGTGTGTGTGTATGTTACATATACGTACAGTTGAATGAATTTAATTTTAAAAAATAATCGTAGAAAATATTCGCAGCACACCGTGTAGATACGATGGCGCTTCTGCTCAAAGAGAACGACATCAAATTAAAAGCTAGTCGTATAATTATCGTTGCTCTGATCAAGCATACTACTCGAGTAAGTGAATCATATATGTATATGCATATTAAGTTATATCTGACGCTGCTACAACACGAATGGAGAGAGACACGTTTGGAATTAGAATTTCATAGAAATAAATCTTTGCATTTTAAATCTTTTATTTCTTTTTCTTTCAACAACGATAATAACAAGAAAAACCAAATAAAAAAAAAAAAAAAAAAAAAAAAAAAAAAAAATATTTTAAATATATTTATTTTTTTTTCCCCCGCGAAAAAAAATAAACTAGGATGTCAGCGTACTTTCCTATTATAATTTCTAAATGCAACAACTACATTCGTAGAAGAAAATAATANTTAAGTTATATCTGACGCTGCTACAACACGAATGGAGAGAGACACGTTTGGAATTAGAATTTCATAGAAATAAATCTTTGCATTTTAAATCTTTTTTTTTTTTTTCTTTCAACAACGATAAAAAAAAAAAAAAAAAAAAAAAAAAAAAAAAAAAAAAAAAAGAAAGACAAAATATTTTAAATATATTTATTTATTTTTCCCCCGCGAAAAAAAATAAACTAGGATGTCAGCGTACTTTCCTATTATAATTTCTAAATGCAACAACTACATTCGTAGAAGAAAATAATAGGTTTCCTTAACGAGCGTCGCGTGCACGCTAAAACCGGATTTAATATCTCGCATCACGTGTATTCTCATTCCTCTTATGACTTTTAAGCGTATAAAACGAAACTTCATCTTCCTTTTATATAGCTTTGATCCATGCTCTAGATGATAATATTACGTGATAACAGATCGTGAATTCGCTAAGATTTCAAATTCGTATTAAATCGACGCCATTTTGATAAGTAACGATGCCCGACCAATCGTTTCAAATTTCACGTCACGTGATTTTTCGCAAGTCAACTCAGCAACTATAACAAATATTACTAATAAATTGTTCGAATATGTTATCCATTTTCGCAAATAAATAATAAACAACATTATCTATAAATAATATCATTTATATATAAATATTTACATATATAATATTATAGAATTATCTTGTATGTGTGTTTGAATATTTATTCAAAAAAAAAAAGAAATTAAATATATTTAAAATTTCAGCCATGTTAATTTTTTCTTCTAACAATATTATATCTAAAATATAATCTATTAATCACAATATGATAAGAGTAATAAATAAATATTGAAATAAAAATGAATGAATTAAGTAAAAAAATATATTCAAACAGGGATGAAAAGCATCTTGAAGGGCACATATAGATAGGCGTCGGAGTCACGGCGTCGTCAGTCGGCGTCGTCACGTCGCCACTGTCGGCATCCTCTCTCTTTCTCTCTCTCTCTCTCTCACTCTCTCTCTTTCACTCTCTCACTTTCGCGAAATCATGAATGAAAACGGGCGAGCGGCCAGCGTCTGTCTTTACGTACGCATACCATGTAAACATGTATATGTATGTACATACTTACTTACGTACGCACATACACGTGTACTGTTTTTGCATTTGTACAACAGCCACCCTCGACCCTTTTCCTCCTTACGACGAACGCATTTTTTTAGAAATCAAGAGCTAACACGTTAACAAAAATAGAAACACACAAATCCACATACAATTATTTATTGAAATAATTTTATATAAAATAAATATATATAACACTAATTTTTATATTAAATGGTTTTCCTAATAAAATTCAGGTTAAAAGGAAAAAAAAATGGATCGTTGTAAAATTTAATGAAATTCTATTCTGATATCAGGATAAAATGTAAAAAAAAAAAAAAAGAGTAGAAAGAAGTGGGGGATATCATAGGAAGGAAAAGTCGATAGGATCGAGAAGAAATTTCGGAAAAAAAAAAACCTCTAGGAGGAAACGCTTCCATGAATCAACTTCTATATGAAAATAAAAATTCCGATGGTCGGTTGAAAAAGCTTCGGTAGAAGTCGTTACGAGTGTGATGATTTATGCAAATGCAGAGAAAAGGATAGACGGGAAAAAAATTGATTATGCGCATGCCAAGAGATCTGAGGAAATTGGAAAAAGGAAAAACAATAATAAGACGAAATTATAAAAAAAATGAAAATTATCGAAATTATTGGATCAAATAAAAAGATGCAGAGATTGGGAACAAATGAATATTTCTTCGTATTTTGAAATAATTTACAAGTTATAATTACAGTGTTTAAATGCAAGGTAAGATCTAAGAGCTTGTAGATAGGATCTAAAGAGTTGCGCTAAATGAATTATACTTTTCTTTTGAGATTACTTTTTTCAGATTGTAAAATTACAAGCCTGTAACAACAGTAATTAATTTGTAAAATCATCTAATAACATTTGTTTCAACTTGTGTATAAATGATTGAAATCATTAAAAAAAAAAAAAAAAAAAAGAAAAAAAAGAGGAAGAGATTGAGAACCACTGAAGATTTTTCAATTTATTGAAAATGATTTGTAGGTTATAATAAGCGTGTTAAAATACCTAAATAATTGAAATAATCGAAAAGAGAGATAAAGAGAGACATACAGAGTAGATTGGTTTAAAAATATAGGACACATCATGGCAAGAAGAAGGAAAGGAAAAAGAGAGAGAGAGTGAGAGGAAGAAGACAGTGCAATGAGAGAGAAAAAGACTGAGATGAGTCACCAGGTTGCTTGCTTGCTTGCTTGCTTGGCGGTGGCCGCCACCGAGAAAGATTATTCGAGAGGAAATGCCTGCTTCTCGACCTTCTAGGCTCTTCTAATAAACGCGAAAAGAGAGCTATCGGAATCTCGAAGATATAAATGGGCCATGAGTTAGTAAATGGCGCGGAAAATTACGTTTGAAATTCCCGCGCTCTACGCGCGCTCATCCTCTTTCCTCCCTTTTCATTCGCATTTTTTTTTATTTACCGCCAATTTAAAAAAAACCACTCAATGGGTCTTGAAAGTTCCTTGGTTGTACCAACAAATTCCTAGAGACTTCATAGTAGTTCAGTCGATTCGAAAAAGAAAAAAAAATTAACCTATAAATTAGTCTCGTGTAAGAGTAATTGATATTTAAAAATCATCTGGAAACCTTTAAGCCTGTACTATTATTTTCTATTCCTTGTTTTCCGTAACT